TCTACATACAAGGGAGAATTTTGACCTTGTTTTCTTTCTGAAATTGGGTTACCTGACAACATATAGTGCTTATAGATTAATTCAAATAGCTTTCTACTTTATCAGAAGGGAACAATAATACTTAATGTCTGTATTTTGAATAGTCTGTAATTTACTATGATCATAGAAATTTTAATGCTAAGAGTCTTTAGCCTTCCAATGTCTTTCCAAGTGTCTTATATTTAAAGATTTGTATAGAGGGGTAGTTGTATAAAAATGAAAATATAGTCATAGTTTCAGAGGTTAGATAATTTTAACTCAACAATATTACTGTATATTCTGATCATAGTATGAACCATTGCCTAACAGACATTTGAAGTGAAACTATCTGTATATTCTTGAAAGCCTGATTTCTGTTTATTTTTCAACTATTTTAAAGGCAACCAAGGAATATAAAAAGTCAAAACATAACATGTGATTCAGAATTCCATCTCATGAGACTCTCAGAAGATACAGACCTGCAGCCCATCCTCTTTGGACTCTTCCTGTCCATGTACCTGGTCACAGTGCTTGGGAACCTGCTCATCATTGTGGCAGTCACTAATGACCCACATCTCCATACACCTATGTACTTTTTCCTTGCCAATCTGTCCTTTGTGGACATCTGTTTTATCTCTACCACAATCCCAAAGTTGATTGTGAACATTCAGACACACAGTGATGTGATCACTTGTGTAGGCTGCCTCACACAGATGTCTCTTTTTGTAATGTTTCTTGTTATGGATGACATGCTTCTGACTGCCATGGGCTATGATCGATACGTGGCCATCTGTCACCCCCTGCATTATCCAGTCATTATGAAACCTCATCTCTGTGTTTTCTTAGTTTTGGCATCTTACTTTATTAGCTTTGTTGACTCCCAGGTGCATAATTTGATTATCTTACAGCCTACTTACTTCAATAGCATAGAAATTTCTAATTTCTTTTGTCACCCTTCTCAAGTTCTTGATATTTCCTGTTCTGACAGTTTTACCAAAAACTTAGTGACATATTTTGTTGGTGCTATATTTGGTTTTCTTCCTGTCTCAGGAATCTTTTTTTCCTACTACAAAATATTTTCCTCCATTATGAAAATCCCTTCATCAAGCAGGCAGTATAAAGTATTCTCTACCTGTGGGTCTCACCTGACTGTTGTCTGCTTATTTTATGGAACAGGCATTTGGGAGTATCTTGGTTCAGCTGTGTCACACTCTCCCAGCAATGGCATCATGGCCACATTAATGTACACTGTCATCACTCCTATGCTGAATCCCTTCATCTATAGCCTGAGGAACAGGGATGTTGTTAGTAGTCTGAAAAGAGTCTACAGGAAGAAAATTTAGTCTCAAGCATTGTATCTTAATTAGGAAAATAAGTTAGGATATATTGAAAAGTTTAATATTTAAAACTTTATTTACATCCACCCTTGTGTGTTTTTTTAGATGTTTGGAATGCTAATAAATGTTACAAATTGAATGTGTTTTTAAAAATTTATTTATAGTAACTTTAAAAGGTAAAATGCATATGTTCTCCTTATAGCCTTCACTCCTTGGAATCTTCCATGGGTTAGTTAATTTTCTTTGAAATATATTTAGCTTCGTGAAGTGTTACATATTTGACTGATTGGAGTCTAACTATTTGCAGTAGAATAATTAGATTTTCTGCAATCTAAATACCTGTCAATATTTTCCTTCATAACCATTAAAATATCTTATGAATGACAACACTTTTTCCTAATGATATTCAATAAGGAATTATATTTTCAGTTTTACAACAATCTCACCATGTTTACCAATATCTGTTACTCATTTGGAAGCACAATTAACCCAACTAATTTCTAAATCTATTTGTCTGCTGGTGGGGTCTATGCATATCATTATGTTATTTCTTCTACTTTTAGATTTTTAATTTTTTACTATATCTGAAAATTGTGAACAAATACAGGTATATGTGAAAGGGTTGATACCATACTGTACTTTTGTACACCAATCACTCAGCTATTGTGTTGAAAGCAGCAGTATTGAGGCTAAAACAATACTTCATGAATTGGGTAAATATAAAATGATTACTATAAAATCATTAACTTATGCAAAAAATCTGTATGATGGGAACTTAATCTGGATGCTTATTTGTCACTGTATATTCAGCTGTAGTTTATGTGAATATGGTTCCCTTGTGATAGTTAGAGATATGTAAAAAAAAAAAAAACAACTACACAGAGAATAGCAATTCATAGGAAACTTTAGTGAACTGTATTGACTGATGTATGCCATGTGTCATCTTTTGTATTAGTAAAACTATTGTTATATATTATTTTCACTAAAATGTCATACTATGAACCATGCAGAGGAGAAAGTTAAGAAAAGAAAATACAGTGAGAACTTTTTAAAGTATGGTTTTCCCTCAATAATTAGAGCAGGAATTGTGACACTCTGTTTTTTTATTGTGAAGGTCTATCAGTTGAATTTATTGTTGTTGAACAAACTAAAGATGCATTTTGATAGCAGGCATCTGAGCCTATCTACCAAGAAAACCAACTATCTTAGAGGTGAAGCTGATGGACTAAGGAAAGCCAGACTTAACACTGATGGAAAATACCATAAATAAATAAATAAATAAATAAATAAATAAATAAATAAATAGCCAATCACAGCTTCACATTTGATGGCACTCAGAGTGACCACAGTTATTATACCCCACACAATTGCTGTGGATTTACTGTTGCTTGTGGTCAAAGACATTATTTGAGTTATGATCAGAGATGAATTTGTCAAACAATTGATTGTAATTTCCTTATCTAACAACATTGTCTGCAGATGAATAAATGACAAGTTTGTTGATATTCTTGATCAAGTAATCCAAGAATTAAATCTGCCTGAATTCTAACATTGACTATTCAGCTTGATAAATCTACAGAAGTTGCAAACTGTTCACAGTTACTGGTTTACATGAGGTATATTAACAGTGGCAATTTAAAATGAGTTTCCATTTTGCAAAACTCTTGAAACAAAAAATTTTGACACATAATGTATTTGACACAGTTTGAAAGAGCATGAGAGTTCTTGAGGAAAGGTTTGCTGTGTTCCCACAGGTGGTGCTCTGGATATGTGAGGGTGTAGATTTGGATTTCAATGTTTGGTACTGAATGAGTAACAAAAAGTCATTAGAACTCACGGTGTGAATCATTTGAAAATAATAGTATTGAAGACATTGCCACTGAGGTATAAAAAGTAATAAAATTCATTTCAGGTCTGAGTTCTGTAGGAAAAAGTTTCCTACCAAAAATATTAAGTGTCACCTAATGGTATTAATCCTAGCTATGCATTAAATTTTTTGTGTACAAATAATTTGTGAGAGTTTATTAGTGTGAGATTTGTTCCCCAGGTTCAATTCTCAATGTCACCCTAGAACTGCAGCAGACCATCTTCCAATGGCTTCCCTTCTATGAGCCTCCAACACCAGCAAGCATTCCCCCATGAACACACCAGGACTGGAAAACAGGCAAAACACAACGAACACAATCTGTGGAAATCCAGACAGAAAACAGAAACCAGGGAAAAATTACACATGCAATGAAGAAAAATCCAGAAACAATCACCTAGACTTGTAGTCAGTACAAATCCAGGTGTGTAGATGCCAGATTAAGAATATAATCAGCAACAGCCAGGGAAATATGTCTCCACTGGAGACCAGCTATCCTACCACAGTAGGCCCTCAACATTCCAAAATAGCTGAGGCACAACAAAAGACCTTAAAACCAACTATAAGAAGATAATAAATGTCCAGAAAAAGGAACAAGAAAAAAATCCCATAAACAAATCACAGAAAATATAAACATTCAATTAGAAGAAATGAATAAATCCCTAAAAGAAATCAAGGAAAATACAAATGGAGGAAATGAATGAGTCCTTTAAATAAATTCAAGGAAAATCGAACATACAGTTGAAGAAAATGAATAAAACTGTTCAAGATAGAAGAGTTGGAAAAAATCCTGAAGGAATTCCAGAAATGAAAATTTTCAGAAAATGAGCAGGTATTACAATGGCAAGCTTCACTAGCAGAATATAATAAATGGAAGCTTCAGGACTGGAGCAACATCAGAGGTAGGCCTGAACCATCAACCCACAAGCAGCATCAGAGGGAGGCCCTGAGATTCAGGCCCAGAGCAGTGTCAGTAGGAGGCCCAAACTGTAGGCCAGAAGCAGAGGCAGAGAGAGGGCCAAGCTTTAGGCCCAGAGCAGCAGCAAAGGGAGGCTTGAGCTTCAGAGCCAGAACACAATCAGTGGGAGGGCCAAATCTCAGCCTAAATGCAATATAAGAGGGAGGCCTGAGTTTCAGGCCTGGAGCAGTGTCAGTGAAAGGGTTAAACTCTATCCCAGAAGCAGTGTCAAATGTCTGATCCTCAGCCCTGAAGTAGTGTTAGAGTGAGGCCTGAGCCTCAGGCCTGGAGCAGTGGGATGCCTGAACCACCAGCCTGGAGCAGTATCAGAGGGAGGCTTAAGCCTCAGTCCTGGGATCAGTGTCAATGGGAGGCCCAAGTCTTAGTCTCGGGGCCAGGAAGCAAGCATCAGGCAAGACAGCAGCAGTGGTTTCCAGCAGAAGCTTCCAGAAACTATGGCAAGAAGTTCCTCTCAGAAAGAGCATCTTTGTGCCAGCCAGTATACACTGCCATTTCTTAGTTGGAGATACCCCAATGCTACATGGACCACTGGCCCTGAAGCCCCACCTATACCTAGAAGAGCAATATCAGAGCCATGGCCCTGCCTCCAATGGGAGGAGCATCCACAGTAGTAGGCACACTTGCACCTAAAGAAGAGACTTGGGACCACTTCCATCAGGAGGAGCTTTCACCAGGGGCTCTGATCTGTTTGTGCCTCAAAAAGCAGTCAACAGAGCCACAGCTCCCAACTATACCAATTGGAGAAAAAGAGACCTGCAAAGCATGAGTTCCACCTGAACTGATTAGAAGAAGAGATGCATGGACAAAAAGATAAGAGCACACTCAACAATATAAGGAGCAACTTTAAAAACTAGTGGTACTACAACAGCACCTGAACATCCCAATACGGATGAAGCAGAAGAAAATGAATCAAAAAAAATTTATGAGGACAATTGAAGCCTTTAAAAAGGGAAAGACAATTAGAAAATTAAAAGACATTAACAAATCACTTAAAGAAAACCAAGGAAAAGCAATCAAACAAGTGAAGGAAATGATTCGACACTTGACATCTGAAATAGACACAGTAAAGACAATACAAACCAAAGGAATTCTGGAAATAGAAAATCCGGGTAAATGATCAGGAACCACAAATGCAAGAATAAAAAACAGAATACAAGAGTTAGAAGAGAGAATTTTAGGCACTGGAGATACAATAGAGAAAATAGATTCATCAAATAAAGAAAACTTTAAATCCAACAAAATCTTAACACAAAATATGCAGAAAAACTGGGAAACGATAAAAAGACTACATCTAAAAGTAATAGGGATAGAAGGAGAAGAAATCCAACTCAAAGGCACAGAAAATATATTCAACAAAATCATAGAAGAAAACTGTCCCAAC